CGGTACGGAGAAAAAGAGATCATCGACTACTCGCGTCGGATTACAAAGCAAATTGCCAGCTCGAACGAATCGCGTCACATCTGCGTTATTCTCTCCGGTGTCCAGGTTTACAAGCGTCGTATTACTGGGGAAATATTGTCGCTTGTATCTTACGACGTTCGTTTTAAACGTGGGCTAAGAATGTTTTTAACATTAATTCTACCACGACTTTGGATTGGTCAGAGTTTAATAAGCGCAATCTTAGCGCCGTGCGTCTATTGGTACGTCACGTGTCCGCTCTAGTGGCGAGAACCAATCACGCGTTTCTTCTCAAGTCGCCTGTACGCGTCCTTTCATGCCTGCCAGAATCATGTGCAGTGTACACGCGTCGCGTTGTGATACGTTCGAATCTATATTTCTTTCACTAATAAATACTATACTATTTGTTCCGTCTGTTCTAGTGTTTATTTGAAGTAGATCTAGCGCCCTAACAGGATTACGTACAAAGTTTGTGCCAAGATGGCCTCATGCGACAGGTCGTTGAAATCGTTTCGACAAACGCTATCGTGTTATAAGTAAAATTTATTTCGTTTCGGTCCCTAAAAGGAGACACCCCGTATAAGTACAAATTGTTATCGTTCCACCGTGTGTATCGAGTCCAGGAACTCCAGCGAGAGAGAACACCGACGGAAACGCAGGGAAGTTCTTGATAGTACGCAGTCCGGTTGCGTAACCCACCCACGCGTTTGAATTGCAAATAGGACACCGTTGAAGACGTAGTTGCAACGGGACGTTCGTACGCTTAAACAGCTGGAGAATCGTATCGTGGCTCGATATTAGCATACATATGTTACGGCGAAACTGCTATCGGAACGAGGGATATCGTACGAAGTGACGCGGAACCTCGGTCAACAAGAATCTCTTCTTCTCCTTGGGGAATGTCATGGCGTAAGAGATTCGAACGGCATCGTTGGTTGTTCTTAGTCGAGCGTGAATACACTCCTCCACCCTATCAATCCTCGTATTATACCGAAGGAACGGGAATTTCGTTGTTTCCCTCGAATACTTTTTTTTCTTCTTTTTTTTTGCTTCACGTGTTTTTAGTTCAGATGTTTTCTAGATACAATAGTTCTATCAATTTTTTTTTTCTCAGTAATCTTGCTAACGGAATTTTACAAACAATATTTACATACGTGTTTTATAAAAAATTAAATTAAACGAATTCCGCTCCAAGTGAAACTTTCGTTTAATTGAATCGCCATTTTGTTCCTCTTCGGTTTCACTGAACGATCGTGGTAGAATCTGATCAAGTAACATGAAGGTTACTTTTTTTTTTAAATTTCGAAACATGTATTCGAGCATTATTTTGGCAAAAAATAATATTATAGTTTTATTAATATTTATAAATACCATTACCATAGTATTCGTGAAACTGAAACTAGTCCGACTGTATACATTCAAATTGAAATTCGTCGATCTACATATTTTTCGCAATAATAAAACGCGATAGAATGCCATCAAACGTACAATAACTGAATCGAGATGCCTCCGACAGATGGCGTCGACGCGAACGAATACCAATAGGCGACCGTTTGTGCCAATTGTAAAGAAAGTCGTAGCGATATACGAGAAACGATAAAGGCGCCCGACGACTTATGGAAGCACGTAATGTATTTCACGAAGTATTAATCCCCCGTCACGTTCAATTTTACTATTTCACGTGCGTAACAACTGCATCGGAACGGCGGCTCATAAATTCTACGAAAGGTTGGAATTCAAAGGAAACGAGGAAACCTCGTTTCTGCGGGGCTGAGAAACGTTTTGTCGCAGCGTCTCTCAACCTACTGTCACGATCGGATCACACCTTATACAGGGTGTTCGGCCACGCCTGGGAAAAATTTTAATGAGGGATTCTAGAGGCCAAAATAAGACGAAAATCAAGAATACCAATTTTTGATGGAGGCTTCGGTAAAAAGTTATTAACGTTTAAAGTTCCGCTCGTACTGAATTTTTTTTTAGAAAGTTGGTTGGATTTCGGGGGTAGGTCTATTCACCAAAAATTATTGTAATTGACCCCCGCAACTGAAAATAATTTTTCCTAAATGATTTGAAATTTTTTTTTTTCCGTCGAAAAATTTCACAGCTTCTCGAATTTTTTTTTTTCCGTCGAAAAATTTCACAGCTTCTCGAATTTTTTTCTAGAAAGTAGGTAAGATTTCGGGGGTATGTCTATTCACCAAGAATGATCGTAATTGACACCCGCAACCGAAAATAATTTTTCCAGAACAATTTGAAATTTCTTTTTTTCGTCGAAAAATTTAGGCGCTTAATTAGATTTTCAGTAAGGAATTTTTTTCTCGAAAGTGCGTAGGATTTCGGGGGTAATTATAATGACCAAAAATTATTGTAATTGATCCCCGCAACTGAAAATAATTTTTCCAAAAAGATTTGAAATTTTTTGTTCGGTCGAAAAATTTCACAGCTTCTCGAATTTTTTTCTAGAATGTGGGTAAGATTTCGGGGGTATGTCTATTCACCAAAAATAATTGCAATTGACTCCTGCAACCGAAAATAATTTTTTCAGAACGATTTGAAATTTTTGAATTTAATTGTTAATAACTTTTTAACGAAGCCTCCATCAACAAGTTGGTATTCTTGATTTTCGTCTTATTTTGAACACCCTGTATACAGAATATTTATAAAAGCTGGAACAAGCTATGAATCTTTCCTAAGAGAAAAATATTGTTATAAAATATATTTATATTTAATTCCAAACGTTTTGAACAAAGTTTAATTCAACGAATCTTTTCCTAAAATGTTACTCGGCCATTCAATTCAATTTTCTAGGAAATTGATTTCGAATTGAGTGCCCCTAAATGATGGGGAATCGACTTTGGGAACCCTGTGGGATCGAGTGAGTAATTTGCAACGAACTCTACCGGCGGAAATGAGTATTAAAAATCGGTCCCCGTCGTGGCATTAATCCCGAAGATAGCTCACGCAAAGCTATCGGGATGTCGCGTCGGTTTCTCGAGGTTCGTTTAGAGACGAGCGGCGGTTCGTTCGCCCGAAGGCCGATAAATTTGCGGCTGATCCGATAATCGATAAACTCGGCGACGGCAATCGGATTTCAGTCAGTGGCCGGCTGTCTATCGCGAACGTTGTTTCCAACATTTTATGAACGTCGGACAAGCTGCCATTTTGCATCGTCTTGACTTTTCCGTTGACGCATCGGCTCTTGGAACCGGTAATCTTTTATCGATTCTCAAAGTACGCGCGTAAACAAACCCACGTGACTGCAGCAAAGTCTACAATTATAGACCGATTTTGTTGTATGTTTCCAACTTTGTATTTATAACCATGTTCATAATTTTCTCCTCGACGTCCCGTTTCCAAAAAAGCTGTCATATTCGGGAGGAAAAAAAATTTTCGAAACTTTTCGCGGTTACGATACTATCTTTAGGTTAGAAAATGGAAATACTCGGTTTGATCAGAGTAAAATGGCTCCCACGAATGTCCAAGCGAGTTGTAAATTCATATTATATAAACGTTGCAAGCTCTCATAAAGGGGTGGTGGATACGGGGCATCCATGCGAAGTCAGAATATTGTTCTGGACACATCTTTACGATGCATTAGGTTATATACGAATATTCTAATTTTTATAACGGCGCGTAGCCGCGTCTGTTGGCTTTATGAATTTATCGCCGCAACGAGCACACAATGGAACGGCGAGAGAAAAATCCAATTCTGTCGAACGTGGTGCTGGTTTTTATCAACGAGCACGTTTTGCGTTTAAACGATTTCCTCGGTCTTTTTCAGCACCCATCGTGTTCCCCAGCGAATAAAATTGAGTTAGCCGTCGCGTATTGTAATCCATTAGCGCCGTTCTTATTAAAAAATTGCGATAAAAGAGAACGTGTACGATGCAGCAAAGGATGACGAAGGAGATGGCCGCGAAAATAGACCCGACGCGTTTCAATTATTCGAACGATTGGCGAAAATAGTGTTCGTCGGTCGATGTGCATTTTATTATAGAATTGCAGCTGACGTACGACAGCTAATTTTATTAATTTATCTCGACCTTTCCCTCTCAATTTTCTTCGATCCAATTCCTCTTTGAGAAATCTTTAAACCTAACGTCATCGTACAATTATGTACACATTAATGCAGTATATCAAATAATTAAAAGATCCTCTTTAATGTTCAGAAAAACAAATCGGAAAAAAATTAATAATCATACAATATGAAAAATTTTTACTTTTTCAAAAACGATACCAAATCATTCCTGGCATTCTTCCGATTACAACGAGTCCAAACACGACGTAAATCAGATTACTTTTAACTAATTTAGCATATACATACTGTCAATTTCTTGACAGAGGCTCCATTAAAAAGTTATTAACATTTAAAGTTTCGCTTGTATTGAATTTTTTTCTCGAATATTCTCAAGATTTGGGGGGCATGTGTATTCACCAAAAATTGTTATAATTGTCTCCCGCAACCGAAAATAATTTTTTCAGAACAGTTTGACCAAATTTTTTTCCTCGAAAAATTTCATACATACTCGAATTTTTTCCTCGAAAGTGGCTAGGATTTTCGGGGTGGGTCTATTGACCAAAAATAATTGTAATTGACCCCCGCAACTAAAAATAATTTTTTCAGAATAATTTGAAACTTTTTAATTTCGACGAAAAATTTCTTCACCTGCTCGAATTTTTTTCTCGAAAGTGCGTGAGATTTCGAGGGTATGTCTATTGATAAAAAATGATTATAATTGTCCCCCGCAACTGAAAATAATTTTTCCAGAACGATTTGAAATTTTTGTATTTAATTGTTAATAACTTTTTAACGAAGCCTCCATCAACAAATTGGTATTCTTCATTTTCGTCTTATTTTGGCTTCTAGAATGCCCCATTAAAATTTTTCACATTGCTGCCGAACACCCTGTATATCTCCTATTTTAAAAAAACACTAATTTAGTAAAAAGATTATAATTGAATCCATGATATTTCTGTTTCAGTTGGTGGATGACGATGGAAGCATCGAGACAGCCCTAATCAATTACCTATTCACGAAGCAGATCGTGAAACGGCTCCGAAGTCAGTTGGACATCGGCGACCTTCAGCGTAAGCGCAGCTACTGGAAGCAGTGCGCCTTCAATGCAGTTTCCTGCTTCGGCAAATAGACGCCCATTAGCCAGCGCCCCCAAACAAACCGCGAGCAAGCTTTCTTCTACGTCTGTCTGTTTCTCTTCCTTATCCGTCGCTAGCTTCCAAAGTCGAGTGTAGCTCGAAACACTGACATCAGGCTCCCGACGTCGCGTACGCGATTTCCTAACCTAACCCAAACATTTGGCAGCTGCTATTGCTTTTCGTTGCACCGAACTAGTACATACTAGAATCGAAAGATTACTCGGCTTAGAGGCCCTGGGCACTTTTGCGAAAATGTTGTTCGTAACAGTACTTCAAGTCATTGCTTCAGAGCTGGTATTAAATTCTTTTTAACTATACGTTGTTTCATTTCGTGAAACAACTTTGAAAATAATCGTCCTGTATTTGAAATAACGAAATAACGAAACACTCTTGGAAATAACCGAACGTGTTTCGATCATCTTTTTAGACATTTTGTTAATAGATGAAGATACGTATCTCTACGCTAGCTTTACGGAAAATATTATTTATTAAAATAAATAAATATGGGAAAGTTCAAGAAATGATTACAAAATACGTGGACACTATAAATTTTACTGTGTTCATCGACGGAAATTTTTCGAACGCGAATAACTTCTCTTTGAGGTTCGGCAATTCCTGGAACGCAATCCGGACCACTTTGTTGTTCGACAATTCTTTTGAACGTAACTAACTTCTCTTTGTGGAATTTATTGTACAACCTTTAGAAAAAATACCAGACATATGGAAATGCACAAAACGTATTTTTAACCATCAATTTAAAAAAAAGAAAAAAGTAAACGTTAAGCGGTTAAATATTTCAACCGTGTAATGCTCTGTTGCAAAAACTCCTTTTGTGAAACAGATTCGATAAGCAGAAATTCGTTTGAAAACCGCAGTGCTGTACTAGTTTATAACTTCAGAATTATTTGGTACAACGGAAACAAAATGTTTCCATTAAAGAACGTCGTTTAGATCCTAAATGATAATTTTGAGAAAAGACTGATACGTTATTTCAAATACAGCAATTAATTGAAGCTAAACGAATCCCTGTGTGCTTTTTCATAAAAAGTAAACATTCTTTAATCCATTTATGCCTAAAGTAAAGAGTTTGAAAACTTGTAAAAGAAATTACCGCTTCCAGAACAGACAGAATATCGATTATTTTAACTGTAAAGACTCCCTGTATGTACAAAATGCAGCAGTGAGTAAGTTTTCTATAAAAAAGAGTTTATAAATATTTTTTGAAGATACTTTATACATAGATCATAAGGCATAAATGGATTAATATTTGAATACACAAATACATACTCACTAGAGGGATATTTGAGTTAAAGAAAAATGGACAGTGATGGTATAACTCTGTTGCAAGTAAGTACCCCTAACGTAGATCGATCCAGGAAGCTCTGCTCTGCTCTATATTTATTTTCGGTTGGAATAAAGCGTGCTCAGGTCTGCTTCGAATTTACAAAGCTCAATGATCCGTTCAGTAGCAAAAATAATAACGTCAAAGGATATCGTGGACGTGAATCGTCGCCGGAGCTAATTTCCATTCGATATTAAGAGGAAAAGAAATCGTAGTTTAGCGACACGAATACTGAAAAGTGCCCGGAAGCTTTTCAGTCGGTCGAACGACATATTTTCGCAACACGGTTAACAAGCACGTGACCAACCCTCACCTCGCGTTTCCGTTCTCCTTTCTTGTATAGAGTTTATGGTGGTTCGTTACGGGGCAACGGAGCGGAGAGTTACACCGTTGTAAATCAGCGTTTAAACGCGACTGCTGTAATGGAGAGTTCAATAAAGAGTTTATTTCCGTTGTAATCGCTTAAGGGAACGAAGTAATAAAACGCTCGACCCCTCCATTTTAATTGCCCCCTTTATTGCGAAAAATACACAATAATTAATAGTCATGATTTTCTATCGTCGAATGTACAGAATACATTTCGTTTTCGAAAGGTAAAGATTGCGCCTCCGGTTAAGTAAAACACTCGTGCGGGTTCGAACGAACGTCGATCACCTGCGAGTGCAAAAGGAAACGTCTAAGAATAGTAGTAGCTTGATGGTTACAAGAATAATCGAGTTGACTAAGTTAGGTTAGATTAACCTAAAAATTCGTGACATATGTAGAGGAGTGATTCCATCGAGGCAACACTATGCGACTCGTACTCGGGGCTTGAAAACCATTGTAATATAGGGTTAGGTTTTTCACCTTTATCACAAACCATCTCGTGACACAATACCAACAAATGTAAAATTATTTAACTGTATAGAGCATAATGGAGAATAGAATAAATATCAAACGATTCTCGAGAAGCCAGAACTCCTCCGTTGTTCATAGTGGGTGATGCAAATGCGACATATTGCCTCGTTGGAATCACGCCTTAACAACGTACGATGAGTGGAAAGAAGTTCGTCGTCATTAATGTCGACAGGAACAGGGACAGGTACAGTAATCGGCGGCCAGCTCCACGGCGTGCTCGTTCGTTTCTTGGATTCGAGAGGCCGCTGCTGACGCTTCCAGCCAACCGATGCATACGTGTCGCGCCATTTTGGGCACGTCGTCGTACTCCTGGAACGTAAATGACGGAAACGAGGGGATTACCGTCACGGTTTCGCGAGTGGAAGTGCGGAAATCGTGCACGACAGTGGGTCGGCGGAGATTATAAGCGGCAGGCGGGAGCCGGTGAAGTTGGCGCGAACGATTAACGGAGCTGACAACTTTCAGAAGCTGGAAGCCGCCTAATGGCGCGGGTATTAACCAACTTTAATTCCGTTATCGGGCCACCGCGTTCGATCGATTTAAAAGGCGTCCATTAAAGCGTTATACGAGGGCACGGGCCACACATGACTCGACCGGTAAACCGATTAATTCCTTAAGGTGGTGTTCCATCGTAAAACATGGATTTTTAGCTCCTTTTCCGATATTTTTTTTTTTTTGTGGGAAGAAAGAACTATAGAAAATTGATGAAATGTGGTTCAGACACGATTTACAATTTTTCTATAAAGGCAAGGGTACAAGTTATAGAATAATGTTACAATTATTAATGATATTGCAAATGATTAATATAAAGGAAAGAATAGCTGGAGAACGTCCAGAAAGTTTTAATTAGAGAGAGGGATAAAAAATGTTGCGGAAAATTAATGACAATCCGCATTGCAGTGTTCCGTAATCGGGTGCAGAGAGCTTTCGTGGAAATTTGCAGGAAATTAAGATCCGCGACGGTACGCCGAGTATGTAGAATATAATAATCCCATAATCCCCCAAACATGAAAGTATGGTTTACTTTCTCTGAATGTTCAGTAACGGTATCGAGCGTCACATTAAATAACAAACAAACCATTCGATTCGAAATAGATTTTTGTTTCTTCGAGTGACTCTGAAAATTAATTCTAAAATATTACGAAAATTTCTCAACTCACGACCGTGCCCGATTGAAAGGGTTAACGAAAGGGCAAAGTGTCGAGAGTCATCGTATACGTACTTGGACTTTCGAGGACGGGATCTCCATGCCGGAGTGGATCACGTACGTGGCTCTGGATCTGCCGTGGTCCCTCAGGACTTTGGCCCCGAGACTGGTCGACATCGCGGGCGGTTAAGGAAAATCGGTTCGCGCTTGGCGAGTCGAGTAACTCGGTCGTCGAGCGGTCGACCCTCTTGGGGGATGTCGCGCGTAACGAGTCTCCCGACCCCCTTTCGCAAAGAGACTTGAAAAGATAATCGCGCGTTCCCTTTCTCGCGGCACGATCGTCGAGAGCGGGTTTTCTCTGAATCCGCCTCGAGGGAGCCCCCCCCCAACCGCTTCTTATCACTCTACTTTTCTTGCTCCTATTTCCACGGGTGTCCCCTAACAGTTTACATCTTGCGGAGCGCAACTCGCCGCCCCGAAGTAATTAAGACACGTCCTTGAGGGTCCGAGCGAATAAAAGACGAACGCGACCAATGGAACGGTACTGGTGATCGAAGAGGCTGTGGGGTTTAATAACAAGACGTATTCTGCTTTTCCGATATCGCGGTCGTGAGGAACCCTCGTTTTCATTATATCGTGATATTATAGCAGCTACAAAATTTACGACGATGATTAAATTTTAGCACGAAATGTACTATTATTTACACTCTGTTCCACAAGAACGTGTCGGTCATATTTTCTGCGAAAAAAGCAGAACCTGAAGGATCTCGATATATAAGCATTGTACTACAATACGTTTACATAGTATGTTGTCCAGTCGCCATCATTGTCGATTATAGCCCGCGCACCGTTTAGGCACACTTTCGGCGAGATTTTCCGCCATTGTTTTCGGTCCTTTTGGATGATTACAGAGAAACACCGCTTCGAAGCGACTAGCGTACGCTGAACTCATTGTTATTTTTGTCACCTTCGACGCAGATAACAGCCCACACTACTGACTTAACCTCAAAGCATCGAAGCCAGGTGTTCAAACAGTTGAATCAACCGATTGTTAAACAGATGCGTCGTCTAGTGACAAAATTAGGAACGACACGCTCTTGTGGAACTGACTGTATGTTTATTTGAATGGGGCGATCGATGGTCTCGGGCGAAAGCTTTTATATTCTGATTGGAATGAAAATCTGCATATTTGTCATGATTTCTTCGCGAGATTGTTATCGATGTATTCGTGAGAGTTTCCCGATGAAAACGAATCCAAACACGACCTACTTCGCGCAACTTTTAATTAGAAGCAGTTCGACATTTTTTATAAATAATTCTGATAACGCATGATTAAAAGTGGTCCGAATATGGCCGTGTTTGGAGTCATTTTAATCGGAATAATCACGCGAATCCGTTGATAATACTGTTGGCCGAGGAACACCCGTTCGATTCGATTTCGAGGAAATTATTTGAAAGGCGACGCTTTATTTTCTAGTGAATAAAAGGATACGTTTTCAGCAACATGCGAACGTGCGTCTCTTTTTTCTTCCTAAAACCCGTTGTCAAGACGACGGGAGCGCCCTTTAGAATTGTTTTCGATCTCTGGAAAGCATTTGTTATCGCGAATATTGTATCGAATGTTTGTTAATATAGTCTACCGTCTCTACTTTTAGGTTTGGTATGGTTCCTTGTAAGAAAAAGAATTAGACCCGGATATTTGCAATAATTAGAATTGTCAGTTATCCGGGCCGACTGAGCAGTAGAGCTTACCAATACACTATCCGTGAGGCTGGACAGTGGCTTCGCGTCAGGTGGAAGACCAGATTGAGGCTTCCGACCTTCGACCCAGTTCAATGGAGTCCCATCAGCAGAATATTCGATATACTGAAGGGTATGAAACAAATATAAAAACAAAAAGATACGCACAGAGTGGTTCACGCAATCGTTTCAGGCCATAACTCGGTCAGCGATGCAATAATAAAAAAAATGTCAAAGGAGAAAGATAAATGGTTCGAAAAGCACTATGTCTGTAAGACCTCAGCTTAAACAAAAAAATCTGCATATATTCCAAGTGTTTAAAAACAAAAAATGGTTACGCACATCCTTGCCGACGAACGCGTAGAACTCTGCTTCTTTCTTGATCTTCCGAGGCACGACGTTTCCTACCTCATCATCGCGTGGCTCTTCCTTAATTTTTACATTAACATCGAACTCCGCGTTACTTTCTTGCTTCACAATCGGCATTAGACTCGTCGAAGGCTTTACATCTCGTTCCCTTTTCACCGGGGACTTCGATGTTCTGTCGCCTTTGATCCCCCTGTTTGGAGAGACTTCGAATTTGATCGGCTTTTCTTCGCCCACATTCTGTCCAATCCTGGAAAAAAGGTGTTCTCTTCGATTGGAAATGTGCCGTTAAAAATTTTAACGGGAGATTCTAGAGAGCAAAATAAGACGAAAATCAAGAATAGCAATTTGTTGATCGAGGCTTCGTTGACAAGTTATTAACGTTTAAAGTTGCGCCTTAAAACGCGCACGCGGCTGTTCGCAGATTGAAACGTTAATAACTTTTTAACGAAGCCTCGATCGACAAATTGCTATTCTTGATTTTCGTCTTATTTTGGTCTCTAGAATCTCCCGTTAAAATTTCTTCCCAGAGATGGCCGTGCAACCCCGATTGAAACTAGGCGCCATACTTGGAGTTCGATGGCAAAAGGAGGCTAAGGTCTATCGACTCCGAGCTCTTTTTGAAGAGGGACCGTAACTCGTTTAAAGTAGTGGCGTTGGACCAATCCTTGTCGTCTCGAATGCGAGTCACTCGTGGAAATCTGATGCTGATACCGTCCGCCGTGTGAACGCCCTGATTCGTGAACTCCGCCCCCGTTATTTCCCACACGGGTTGCTTCTGAAGTCCAGAAGAAAAATCGCAAACACGATCACCATTGGCCCAGAAACTAACGAAACGTTTCCACGAAACGTCGTCGCAAATTACCTTGGGATCCCTGGCGACGAAATCAGGAATCATCGGTTTGTTCGCGCGCAACCACGGGGGCACCTTGCCCGGATCTTTGCTTATCTTAACCATGTCCAGTTCATCCTGGAGCATCGTTAGCGTCGCGTCGTCGTGCCCAGTGTGCACCTGAACCGAACAATCAGCTTGCAAATCGTCGCGTATCGCGTCCGTACGGGGTTTTCCAATAAAAAGACACGATTCTTCAACACCTTGCGTTGGAAATAAAACAAGCAAACGAAACAATTTTTTTACATTTTTTAATTTTAATTATACTTCGATTCGATGCTCTGTCGCCCCTATTGGGAAACCCCGTCACTTTATTTACGCAAAATCTCTCGAATCCTTACTTTGGTCACTGTCAACCAGACTTGACGTTTCTCGTCGTAACAACCCATCAGAAACACGGACATCATCCCACCTAAAGACGTAATCTCACGTTCAAGTACTTGATTTTGGTCTGGTTTAGGACTAGGTTAGGTTTGGGTTAGGTTAGCGTTGAGTAATTGTTTTTATTGTATCATTGTATCTAAATTGAAATTAAATCTAATGTACACTCGGGAACAGATAAGGTTAGAGTCAGTTTCATGCTTTACGATGGTTATCCATAAGTTTTGCTTAACACGACTCGTAAAACCAGTCAAGATTGATCTTGCAAAGCTTCGATTTGCACGAACCTTTGTTCCCAGTGCCGTACCATGCGCCGAGGACGACGAGATCTGCACTATCGGCCATAGCACCGCCGAATAAATAATCCTTTTTTACCTTCAGCCAGTGCCTCTTGCCCGGCTCGTATTTGCTCTGCGAACATTCACGCGTTTGCAAGCTTCTTTCAGACAAGTTACGAGAGTATTCTAGAATCTTGAAAAAATCGGTTCTCTTTTTCAAAGCCTTTCGAAACTCGCGCGGGACGACCAGGGTTACCGCCTTATTATCGTATAAAATGAATCGTCACCGGGGAGATTGTGTGTAAAATACCTACGTTGATGTCTTTCAGGACCAATCCTTCGAGGCCCAATTTAAAAACCTTGGCGATCATTTCAGCCAGATCTTGCGGATTCTGAAATCACCGCCGCTTTAAAGCTACGCGTGTCTAGATTTGCTTAATATGATAATACAATTGTGTAATTTACATGGACTTCCTGAACCTCGGAGAGCTTTATTCTGTTCGGTATCTCGGTCATTCTCTCCATTAGAATTCGCCTTCGCTCGATCATTGTCCTGCGTAGAACGATAGGAAATATTCTTAGCAGCCGTTACATTATCAGACCGTACGGAAAGTTCGTAGCGTGTCTCATAGATGGCGCTAGTATAACTTAAATAACCTCCATTTCTCGATGGTCGGTTCATTTTCAATTATAACCTAAAATGTCGTAGTTCTCCGTGTCGTTTAAAACAGAAGTTCAATGAAATTCTTTAGTAATTCGTGCGTATAATAGTGAGAAGAAAACGGATTGTTGTCGTCGTTATAAACGTGGCATGAAACGGTAAAAATTAATGAAAACGAACTTTCCGAACAATTCAAGTGTCGAAGAACTTACTTGTGCAGTAGAACGTCCCCGTTATAATAGATGCAGTCGAAAACGAACAGACAGACGTTGGCATCTTTGAATTCGGCTGCCTAGGAAGAGAACACATAAAATGGCCGATCGTGTACAGAGCGTACGCCCATAAATGCCCAAGCAAATATTACGTGAATGGTTTAGGTTCGAAAAACAGTTGGATCGGATAAATTTAAACACGGCTTCGGGTCAGTTACAAGGGATACGTAAATCATTGCTCGTAATAAAAATGACGTGATATTTATGAATGAATAATATAAGTTTTCGATGCCAAATTGTCGAGAGAATTGACATTGCAAATTTACGTGGGAATTAAATTATCTCGAAAACAAAGCCTCCAACAAAGAAAAGTTACTTCTTCTGTTCGATTTATTATTAAATGTAGAATATTAGAATCCGTACCTTGTGAACGCCCAAGGATCCGAATGGCAATGGCTGACCGGTCTTGGTGTCTATCAGGAGGATCTCGGAGTCCAGGATCAAATCGTCGCCGTCTGGAAAGGCTTCAGGAATATATTCCTTGAAAAGCTTCACCTGGAACGATTACACACGGTGTCCAGACTATGATCGTCGTGTCTAGATCGACCAATTTCAGGTTTGGAGGTTAGGGGTATTTACTTTGTGGGGAACCACAGGTTTCAGGGACCTGCTGAAGTATCGGAACTCGCTGCCCCTTTTGTGCACCTGGACGCGTTCCCCGTCGTATTTCACCTCGGACAGCATTCCGTGCGGGCACTTCTTCATCGCCATTTCCACGGACTTGCAAGCTTCCGCCTATTTAGATTAATCAGTGAAGCGAGACGTTCTAATTGCACGACTATCACGATCGAAGAAGAGCCTTACCAGCATCGGTAGGACCGGTGTCATCAAGGAAAGTGCTACTTTAATGCCAGTGGGTGATTTTAACGTGGACGAGGACGGTTTCGAAAGTTTGTCGACGATCGTAGAAGTTTGCAAACAGCGTTCGATGACGCTGTTCAGGTCCCTCGAAGTTTGGAACGCCCGGTAGGCGTCCTCGTGCACAGCACCCAATCTGTCGATACGTATTCAAGGGAGAAAAATAACTGTAGAATGCATACGCAAAGTTTCGCGTCACCCTATACAGAGTGTTCGACCAACTCTGGGGAAAATTGTAATGGGAGATTCCAGAGGCCAAAATAGGACCAAAGTCAAGAATACTAATTTGTTGATGCAGACATCGTTAAAAAGTTATTAACATTTAAAGTTCCACCCGTAATGAATTTTTTTTCTCGAAAATACGCAGGATTTCGGGGATATGTCTGTTCATAAAAAATGATTGTAATTGACCCTCGCAATCAAAAATAATTTTTTTAGAACGATTTGAAATTTTTAAATTTTGTGTAAATATTTAGATCTTACTCAAATTTTTTTCTTGAAAATGGTTAGGATTTCGATGGTATGTCTATTGACCAAATATGATTGTAATTAACCCGTGCAATCAAAAATAATTTTTTTAGAACGATTTGAAATTTTTTAATATTGTCGAAAAATTTAGGCACCTACTCGAATTTTTTTCTCGAAAGTGGGTAGGATTTCGGGATTATGTGTATTCACCAAATATGATTGTAATTGAGCCCCGCAACCGAAAATAATTTTTTCAGAACGATTTGAAATATTTTGATATTGTCGATAAATTTAGGCACCTACTCGAATTTTTTTCTCGAAAATGCGTAGAATTTCGGGGGTATGTGTGTTCACCAAAAATAGTTATAATTGTCCTCTGCAACCGAAAATAATTTCTTCAGAACGATTTGAAATTTTTTAATATTGTCGAAAAATTCATCTACCAATTGGAATTTTTTTCTCGAAAGTGCGTAGGATTTCGTGGGTATGTGAATTCACCAAAAATGATTGTAATTGACCTCTGCAACCGAAAATAATTTTTTCAGAACGATTTGAAATATTTTGATATTGTCGATAAATTTAGGCACCTACTTGAATTTTTTTCTCGAAAGTGGGTAGGATTTTGGGGATATGTCTAATCACCAAAAATGATTGTAATTGACCCCCCTAGCTAAAAATAATTTTTCCAGAACGATTTGAAATTTTTTAATTTAATTGTTAATAACTTTTTAACCAACCCTCAGTCAAGAAATTGATATTCTTGATTTTTGTTTTATTCTGGCCTCTAGAATTTCCCATTAAAATTTTTCCCAAGGTGTGGTCGAACACCCTGTACATAGAAAACTTACATGTGCTTCGGGCCAGCGTTTATTCTCAGGTCGTGCTTGATCAAACGAATGATCATTTTCAAATCGTTCGCGGTACATCTAAAAAAAAAATGGCCGCTAGAAATATTTTCTATTCCATTCGTGAAAGGGAAATTTGGAAAAAATGATGGATTCGTCGAGTTTACCTCGAAATTATCGACCGGAAGTGTTGGGTCTGCTCGTCTTCCTTGGTCAGGAACGAGAGCTTGTTCAAAAACTCGTCCACCTGAGTGAAAAAGAATTCGTCCACTAGTCGATAAACGACCTTGGCGTAATTATGGGACAATTATACTTAATTTTTCGGAATTAAATGAATCGTTAGCGTTCTTGACTCTAGATGGCGTCATCAGATTCTCTGTATGGACGCTGGGAATCCCTATTTGCGCTTAAATCTGCGTGTTTGCGATTTCCTTGTAAATTCAACTATTCGCATACTATCTCGATGAAATTTTGTTTAGTTGTTCTTTATGTTCCGGCGGGAAGTAATGTTTAATTTTTACGGTGGAATAGCCGTTTAATGGCCAGAATACGAGAAACGAGCAGAGACGCGAAGCAGGAAGAAAACTGCCCCGAGACAAATTACGAGGATAGACGACGCCGCGAATTTCGTTTGAAACGAATCTGTTTCATTAGCAACTGGAGCACTGTCCCGTGCTGCCATTTGTTTCAGGCAAATTGCCACGATAATACGCAATCCCTTTATCCGCCCTTGCAAATTTATGAATTTCATCCGACTCGATTAATAGAGCTGCGTATTTCCTTTCTCGCTGAAAATTATTATTACGAGGATCGTACGATAACCAAAGGAGACAAGACTCCTTGGTTCGGATAATATCGAAACGGAGATAATCGTACAATTATTTGTTGGCATTCGTGTCGATAATACCGATTATACCGCGCCGTGATTGGTCCAGTGTTTTTCGTTAATAATTCAAAAACGAAGCCCCATCCGACATTTTTGCAAAGGAAATTGTTGTTCAGAATGGTCTCAGCTACCCATTTCCGGTTCTTACACTATTTACGGGACACCCTGTAGAACTGAATTTCGGTAAAGAATACAGACTGACTTTTAATTTCACTTAACCTCTTGAATCGTGAGCAAGGACCGATGAGGAGGTTTATAGACGACGGATTTTTCGTAGAACAGACGGATCGTTTCAGACACGTCGCCCTTGTCCAGGTGCTCGAGCATCTCGTCCTCGTCCTGGAGCAGCAACCGGGAGAACAGCTTCACCAGCTGCTTATTCTGCAGGTTGTAGACCCTCAGCACCACGCCAGGAAGCAACAATCTGCACCAGAGGCACACGTCGCTCTTAAAGCCTCCTGCGAACACCCAGCGATTATCCCCTGATAGCTAGTCGCCATTGTGGTACTCGAACCACGAAGAGGAATAGTTAAATCAATTAAACAGTTGTTATGCGAGTAAATAGACATTTTTTTATTACATTGTACACGATGCATTCTTCAATTTTGGACTATTTTTAATTGTATTTTAGACCACTAGATGGCTACCACTTCAAGATGCCCATTTTATTCAAACTTTATGCTATTTATTGATACCTAAAAACTAACTATCTAACTGACAAACTAACTAACTAACTAACTAACTAACTAACTAACTGACTAACTAACTAACTAACTGACTAACTAACTATCTAACTGACAAACTAACTAACTAACTGATTAACTAACTAACTGACTAACTAACTAACTATCTAACAAACTAACTAACTAACTCATATACTAACTAATTAACAGACAAACTAACTAACAAACTAACTAACTAACTGACTAACGAACTAACTAACTGACAAACTAACTAACTAGCTAACTCACTAACTAAATAACTAACTAAATAACAAACTAACAAACTAACTGCAAACTGACTCACTAACTAACTAACCACGAAGAGGGATAGTTAGATCAATTAAACTGTTATTATGCGAGTAAAAACACATGTTTTTATTACATTGTACACGATTCATTCTTCAATTTTGGACTATTTTTAATTATATTTTAGACCACTAGATGGCTACCACTTCAAGATGATTATTTATTCATGCTGAATGCTGGATATTTATTGATACCTAAACGCCATTGTGGTACTCGAACCACGAAGAGGGATAGTTAAATCAATTAACACTAGAACTACCGACAATTACAGTGTGTTTATTTGTACCAAAGAAATTGAAACGATAGATACGCGAAGAAATATATATAGTGCAATGAAAATAAGTGTTTATATATTCTCTTATAGAAATATCGATTTTTATAAAATTCAGTCGAGTAAATTTTTTACAAGTTTTATTAGAAATTATGAATAGGTCATTTTGACTGGTTTGGTAGTTTTAGTGTTAAACAGTTGTTATGCGAGTAAAAACACATTTTTTTGTTACATTGTAAATGATGCATTCTTAAATTTTTGACTATTTTTAATTATATTTTAGACCACTAGATGGCTACCACTTCAAGATGCCCATTTCATTCGTTCTTTATGCTATTTGTTGGCAACACTGCCAAGAATCTGGTAACGCCTGGGGGGGGAGAGTAGAGCCCAGCAGTATGGTTATGGCGGTTAGCGTCTTAGCACCTGTATTAGGTTATGTCTTGTCGGTTGTAAATTGAATGATTAATTGTGTTTTGAGTTTTAAATATACCTTTATATTCATATTATAAAAGTGCGTATTTTGTGGCTACCTCATCTAGAAAACACAACATCCAGAATAATTATATCCATGACATAATAAAATACTTATCCAGAAGAAGAGCATAGCCTAGAAAGTGGTTACGGATCTAACCTCAAAAATGACAGATGCTGTGTAAACTTTTTGAAACACTGGGGGGATAATATAACCTCAAAGTACCCGAACGACGAGACCACTAGATGACTATCACTTCTCGATGTCCATTTTATTCATGCTTCATGCTATTTATAGATACCCAAACGACTTTATTAAACACATCATAGGAATAAGTATATCCATGGCTAGACTGCGGATGTTTATGCATTTATGGGAAATTTTAATTTTCAAAAAGCTACAGAATTTAGTTAATATGCAAGAATATAAGAAATACTTCAAGTAAGGTACACATTATTATATCTAGGGGTTGAGACAACCCTCTACAAAGCTCCAATTTCATTAATTTTATTAATAAAAATATGAATTTGCATGAAGATCCGCAGTCTATTCATGGCATAATAAAATACTTATCCAGAAGAAGAGCATAGTCTAGTAAGTGGTTGCGGATCTAACCTCAAAAATGACAGAAGCGCAGAATAAATTTTTTTGCAACAACGGGTTAACATGGCGTCAAAGTACCCGTACGATAATGGTCGTCGGTCGGCGAGGAAGGGGGCACGAAGGAAGAAGCCAACCGGAACGCTGTCCGATGGAATATCCGCGATCGGGGCTGTTATCGTGGCCAGTTATCGCCTCGTAACTTTCCGTTCACGCGTTGCATTCCGTCGCGACGCTTTTCGTTCGTCGTTCCCTTTGGCTTTCCCGACTGTTATCGTACGCAGCGGAGGGGAAGCACCGCTATCGGTTAAAATTCCCCCCTACCCTCCGGTTTTTCTGCATTTCTCGGATGATTTCGAGCGGAATCCAAAAATGCAAAAAACCGATTAGAATATTCTGCACTCGTCTATGGTTGTATTTGTCGTGCATTATATCTCCGGAGTGGTTTTTCAGAAAATCCGAGAATTTTAGTACGGTGACTGTCCGAGCACAATGAATCATCACGAGCGACAGAACCGACACGCAGGCGATTTTATTTTCAAAAATAATTCGAAGACGCGGAATAAAGTTTTCCTCAGCGGTGCTGCGTTTTCGAGAAAATTCAACTTCGATATTTTTGGGGCACGTAAACGACTTAATGAACCTGATCATAGATGTATCTTGTATTCGTTTATGTGATTTGGAAATAATAATTTATTTATTTTTATTGGAATAAATAAAAAATAAATAGAACTGGATAGCGCAAATACTTCCATTTGTATTTGCACAATTTCAGAACGGAAATAATTGAGTAATGGAGTAATAAAGTACACAAAAAATGAGGCGCGCGAATAAAGGAGGACTGCACGTTGCAAATAAATTAATCAAGCTATTTATCTGGGATAACAGAGAGAACGGAAAGCACGAGTTTAACGAGTTCGAGAGAAAGTCCATGTAGGACGACGAGAACAGCCGGCGATATATGCAGTACTTGAATTAGTGTAGCTCAAACATTATAATATCCTCGAATGAAGTGTTTACGGTTACTAAAACGGGAGTCTGCTTCGTAACAACGTAATTCTCGAAGGATTGAGAATCGAGTGCGCAATATCCTCGATTAAGAACTCCGGGAGCAGCCGCGGCGCGATTCGCGGAAAATCTGGCGACCTCCTTCTTCGCGTCGGACGAGACTAGATCATCGTCGAAATTGCGAACGACGGACGCGTTATCGCACTCGCTGAATTTACTTCCGCCCACGCGAATCCGAATAAACAGAATTTTGTCCAAGACACTCAATTTTCAATGAGAAAGTTTGCATTCCGAAAATGGGGAAAACCATTCTGCACAAACGAACTTTGCTAGCCTCGTCGCTGACAATTACATTATTGTTTCGTAAAGAAGGTGTCGTAATTGTGAAGTAATAGAGCTAGTTGTGAGAAATATTTTTGGGCACGAAGAGCATGGTTTTATCTCGGCAAAAGTCATAATTTTCGGCAATATTTTTAAATAATCAATTTGTCTTCTATAAATAATTAATTCGTATTTTCCATCAGGCCTCTGCTGCCCTCTGGTGACCACTGGTGACCACTGGTAATACATCTAACAACGTATAACCATTACTACTGACTGCTACCAGGCTCTGCTGGCCTCTACTGGCATCTGGTGACCACTGCTGACCACTGTTAATACATTTAACAACGTATAACGATTACTACTGACTGCTACTAGGCTACGCTGGCCTCTGCTGCCCTCTACTGGCCTCTGCTGACCACTGCTAATACATCTAACAACGTATAACGATAACTACTGACTGCTACTAGGCTCCGCTGCCCTCTACTGGCCTCTGCTGACCACTGGTGACCACCCCTGACGCTTCTGACAACGTATAATGATTACTACTTGCTACTGCTTGCCCCTGCTGGTCTCCGCTAGTCTCTACTGATCTCTACTGGCCTTCGCTGATCTGCACTGACCACTAGTGACCTTTGTTGACAAGTTCTAACATGATATATATGTATGTATTAAAGCTTTGTATAATGTAAATCTATAGCAATAGGCAGAGGCTGGCAGTAGCCATTAGTAATCGTTATACGTTGTCAGAAGTATCAGGAGTGGTCAGCATCAATCAACAGAGGCCATTGGAGGCGAGCAGAGACAAGCAGAGACCAGCAGAGGCTGGCAGTAGCCACTAGTAATCGTTATACGTTGTCAAAAGTATCAGGAGTGGTCAGCAGCAATCGACAGAGGCCATTGGAGGCGAGCAGAGACAAGCAGAGACCAGCAGAGGCTGGCAGCAGTCAGTAGTAATCGTTATACGTTGTCAGAAGTATCAGGAGTGGTCAGCAGTGGTCAGTAGAGGCCAGCGGAGGCTGACAAAAGTCAGTAGTAATCGCTATACGTTGTCAGAAATATAAGCGGTGGTCAGCAGGGATCAGCAGAAGCCAGCAAAAGCCAGAAGAGACCAGCAGAGGTTGGCAGTAGCCACTAGTAATCGTTATACGTTGTCAAAAGTATCAGGAGTGGTCAGCAGCAGTCAGCAGAGGCCAGCGGAGGCTGACAAAAGTCAATAGTAATCATTATATGTTGTCAGAAATATAAACGGTGGTTAGCAAAGCATCAGCAAAAGCCAGCAGAGGCTGGCAGTAGTAATTAGTAGTCTTTATTAGTCTTTATACGATGTCAAAGGTGTCAGGAGCGGTCAGCAGAAGCCAGCGCAAGCCTATAGAAAAATTCAAAAGTATTTTGATTTCCAAAAATCGTATTAATAATATACATGTGTAATAAAAAAAAATTTCTTTCTTTTCCCCAATAGTTAAAATATGATCAGGGGATCTTGAAACGTGTATTTCCGTAGAAAAAGTTTCACAAAATTTTGCTTATGTGAATCTACATAGGTCGGAAAGTAACAATGCCTAGGCAGTTGAGATTCGAAATCGTATGCCCGTGGACGTGAGGTCGGATTTCAGATGTTCAAGAGCGAGAAGGCATACGTGAGCCTTTCTCTCTCGACTCCCACGAGGCGGTCCGAAATTACTTCGGGCAGCTTCGGAGAATCGAGAAAGAGGGCATGCGTCAGTCTGTCTTTGTCTACTCTCCGAAACTGTA